CAAATCCCACGTGATTCTGATGCACATTCAGGATTTCAAGTCATGAATGTGGGCTGAGGGTGGGCAGCCTCGAGGACGGGGTGCCGGTCTCTCCAGGGACATCAGCTCATGGGCACCATGGACAGTGGCCCCCCACATGGAGGAGTCACGTGAGCCCGGCTTTTTCTCTGTGCGATGGGAGGGAAACCGGCCCAGCCCCACCACAGAGCTGTTGTAGAAAAAGGAGAAAATGCCCGTCAGCTGATGAACCTCATTGGTGAGCACGACTCGGAAGCTGCTCTCAGGCTGCTTTTTGATGCTGAGCCTCTGGAAGTCTCCAAGTTCTTGGTTCGATCCCCTCCTTTTCTGACCAGGGTCACCTCGTTATTCCCTCCCTCGCTCCCTTCCGCCAGCCGTCAGCGCAGCTCACGCCCTTACTTTTCCCAGGTCTCTGCTCAAATCTTTCTTCTGAATAGAGGCGCTCCCTAATTACGCACCCTGTGCCACCCCCACCCCGTGTCCTTCTCCTCGTGCCACGGACCACTGCCTGACGTCATGGAAGGTTTATTTAGTGTCTGGTGTGTAAGCTCCGTGAGAGCAGCACGTGGTCCTGTTCACCACCAGGTCCCACGACCTAAGGCGGTGCCCAGCATGCAGTAGCTGCTCAATAAGCAGTGGCTGTTGAAGGGGTGCCTCCTCGTCCCTAAAGCGGGGTGAGGCACCGCAGGACCGGCCCAGGACCAAAACAACCGACGTGCGTGAGGGGGGCACCGTGCGATCCGGGGAGCACCGTCCAGGTGGGGAGCAGGAGGGAAAGAAGCTGGGCCTCATCACCTGCTACACCACGGCTCCCTGCTGTACACGTGGGGCCCTTTCATTAATGTTCACAAAACCCTTCAGAAATGGCCATCCCCACTTCACAGGGGCCGAGGTCCTAGTCGGGGTCACAGCAGGTCGCGGCCCCCGAGCATGTGGGAGCATGTGGACCGCGGTGCTTCCTGCTGTGTCCTGTCGCCTCCGGGGGGGTGGCTGCCAAGTGCCAGGGCCATCTTGCCTTCGCGGCCCCTCACACGACTTGTCCACGTAAAGCGGAACCGGGCAGACCTGCTGAGTCGTGCTGATCTGCCCGGAAGAATGCCCATCTCGTTTGAACGCTGGTGAGCCTAAATCCCCATGCCAGTCGCTGCCGTTCCTGCCGCTCGGGAGGCGGGAAAGACAGACGAGAGGCGGACGGCGTGAAGGGCTCTGAGCTCCCACTCTGCTCAGCAGTGGGTCAGGGGGAGCACGCCGGGCACAGGGCAGCAGGGCAGCCTCCCTCCCCAGGGCCAGCTCCTCTTCAAGACGCTCCTTTAGGGGTGGGGGTCAGGGGGCTCCTCACCCTGACAGAGAGGGTGAGGAGAGACACACAGGAACACACAGCCGACCCTACAGGGGGCGCAGGCTCACGAGGGCAGGGACCTGGACCCTCTGGTTGACCAAGGCCGGGCACAGAGCAGACGCCCAGCGAGTCCGTGTTCAAGCAACGAGCAGAGTGCTGGGCTGTGATGAGCGATGGGCTGTGGAGGGTTACGTGCTATGCTGACGGCCAGTCCTGCCACAACACACCACTTCCTGAACCCCGACTCGGCAGTGGGTTTGAGGTCGGGGGGCGGGGGGGATCTGGGCTCCTCACCTGGAAAACTGCCTCAGCTTGGCCTCGATGCTCCGGTGCCGCATGCACATCCGGGTGAGGGCGGAGCCGATCTCCCTGGTTCCACCTGGAAGAGAACGGAGCAAAGCTGAGGACGGAGGCCGGTCCAACCGTGAGACACTTAAAGGCAAAGGAAAGGATTTAAAAACAAGCGAGTGTCCATCATGTCGTAAAAGCCAAGCCACTGCCGTTCAGACTTCTCACCATGCATGTGTGTGCTCATGCTCACACTCACGCTCACACATATATGTATGAAAAGCCAAGCCACTGCCGTTCAGACTTCTCACCATGCACGTGTGTGCTCACACTCACGCTCACACATATATGTATGGTGACAGCTTTTATATAATCACCAAACAGAAGTTACCTTTACTATATACAATACCCTCTGATATTTCCTATTCCGATTGTTTAAAATGCTGATTGTGATCCAGAAATTGATTTTAACAGCCCACTAATACATCAATGACCTACGGTTTGAAAAATACTTCCCCAGGAGGATGACCAAAATAGCATCTGATATTTAGGAAAAAGCTGTAGTTATTTTTCCCTCCTCTGGCAAAAATAACCCTGTTAGCATTCTTTAGAACGGCCAGTAAGGCCACTCCAGATAATTGTTTCAAGACACACACAAGTATTTCGGAGAATAGCAAGGCTAAACAGAATGAAATAATAGAGTGTTTTTAAATGGGTGCGGGTAACTCCAGTGCAAGAAGTCCTCCCACTCAGCAAATGTGGAAGTCAACTGCCATACAGTGTGATCTTCCCGGAATTCTTGTCATGCTTCCCCTTCAGGCGCACCCTTCTCTAGATACCCCCTGAAGGCCCTCCCTCCCCCTCTTGGAAACAAGGCCCGAATCAGCATTCACTGGGGCGTGGGGGAGGGAGGAGCAAACTGCAACCACAGATGGTAATTCTGCACCAACACTGAAAAGCACAATTAATTATAAACGTTATGAAAACACTGGGGCTTGTGAAATCCGGGGGGAAATGTCAAATAAAGCACTATTTTTAGCAGACGAGGCTGTCCAGGGGAAGCCGCAGGAATTTATGGCAGGTTTAGCCAAGTCAAATTATCAGGAAAAAAATTCTCCCCCTTATTAGTGCTCTTGACATTATTACAGGTTGGCTGTCCCCTTCCACCTCTAGAAACACCTCCGTGCTGCTCACATTCCACCTATTTTCCATTTTATCCTGCCAGACGAACAGGTTTCCGGAACAAAAAAATATGAGTCATAACAGTGGTATTATATATTAATATTTCTATACTTGAAAAGAGAAATCTATGCAATTCTCTAACACAGGGCTTCCCCACCTGAACACGGTGGACAAATGGGCCCGGCGCCTCTTGGTTGGGGGCAGTCCTGTGCATGGAAGGAGTATGTTCAGCAGAAGCCCTGGCCTCTCTCTACTAGAAGGCAGCAGCATCCCCCCAATCGGCGGCACCCAAAAGTGTGTTCCTTGGGGAATAAAAACACCCCGGCCAGTTGAGGAGCACAGCTGTAAATCAACCTGACCAAGAACTAAATGTCACCTGAGGCTGTTTAAATGCCTAGAAGTCTGACAATGTTGCCCTCTAGCTCCTGGCACCTGCAGCCACGCTCAGGCCGTAAGTAACCACCACCTCAGCAGCACCATCTACGGCAGCTCACGCCTCTCCACCCGCGGAAACCAGCAGAGGGCGCTGTTTTCACACCCAGCAACTTGCCTTCAGGTTCTCTTAGCTTTTTTATTGCTTAAAAGCAAGGAACACTTTATCCCCAGGGAAATATCTCCTGTTTCGTGGGCCTTCATTTGATTAAAAGTTAATAACCTGGCCATGCAAGGAAATTGGCTCACTCGCTCGCTGCTGGTAAACTAGTACTTTTCTGGGGGAAATTTGGCAGCATCTATCAAGAAAAGCCTTAAAAACACACCCCCTCCTTGACCCAGCAATTCTAGTCTGAGAAATTGAACCTGGGGAGATAATTAAGGATGAGAGCAAATCCTTACTTATGAGACTAGTCACCAAAATGCTGTTTACATGAGTAAAAAGTGAAAACAAAATCCCATTACAGGGAGCAGGTTAAACAGACCATACAACACCTCCGCACCAGGGAATAGCATGCAGTGGTCTGAATGCTGCAGAGCGATGTGTAAGGTCCCGGGAAGGTGAGACATTTGCAGAGCTGTTCGTGCAGGGCTCCGGGATAAGCCCTTTGCACACGAACTGTGTAATCCTTGCAATCTCCCAGTTGTGCGGGGATTATCATCATTCCTTTTCCTGCATGGACAGGAAGAGGCCCTATGTAATTTGCTGAAGCTCGCACTGCTAGAAAGTGGGGTTCTGGCGCAGGCTGAGCAGCAGAGTCTGTGCATGGAACCACTCAGCATCCCACACTTGTTACATACAGACAAGGGCGATGGGAAGGGGCGGAGCCGAGAGCCTAGAGGACGCTGCTAAACTTCAGTACCTACACGCTGTTATGGGTGTTGGGACTTTACAGCCCAGCTCTCAAACTGTGGTTCTTTTTAAAAAATATGTATTTTTATTGATTTCAGAGAAGAAGGAAAAGGGAGAGATAGAAATATTAATGATGAGAGAGAATCATTGGTCAGCTGCCTCCTGCACGCCCCTTACTGGGAACTGAGCCCACAACCTGGACATGTGCCCTAATCAGGAATCGAACGATGACAGAGAATCATTGATCAGCTGCCTCCTGCACGCCCTACTGGGAACTGAGCCCACAATCTGGACATGTGCCCTAATCAGGAATCAAACGATGACCTCCTGGTTCATAGGTCGGCACTCAACTACTGAGCCACACCAGCAAGGCTCACATTGTGGTTCTTGAGCCTAAAACTGTCCAACAAGAATTTATATTAGTTCACACAAACACTCCATCCATGCTTTTGTTCCGGCCCTCCGGTCCAGTTTAAGAACCCATTGTGGCCCTCGAGTCAAAAAGTTTGCCCACCCCTGGTAGTGGGAGAAATCACCAAGTCCAGTCAAAGGGTTAAGTACTGGGACGGTGACTCAGGCAGGGACTCGGGATTCCAGGGAAGTCTCCTAGCCTGGGATGGGATGGAATGAGGGTAGGGGCTGAGCTGAGTCTTTTTAAAGGAGCAAGAGTCAGTCTGGTGACATGCAGGGGACATGGCACTTCAGACAGAGGGGAGAGCATAAGTAAAAAGAGTAAAAACAGAGGAGAGGACAGCACCGTGATGGCGAACCTTTTGAGCTCGGCGTGTCAGCATTTTGAAAAACCCTAACTTAACTCTGGTGCCGTGTCACATATAGAAATTTTTTGATATTTGCAACCATAGTAAAACAAAGATTTATATTTTTGATATTTATTTTATATATTTAAATGCCATTTAACAAAGAAAAATCAACCAAAAAAATGAGTTCGCGTGTCACCTCTGACACGCGTGTCATAGGTTCGCCATCACTGGTCTAGGGGGTAATAAGCAGCTACTTTGTTACCTAGTCCACTTAACTCTTGTTACTCTTCTCAGGTAGTGTATGGAGCTATTTAGGGTCAATTTTAGCAGTTATTCTGAAGGGAATTGTGTAGAGCCTATTTCACTGGGGTGGGATAGCCAGAGATATTAGGCTAAATGGGTTGTTGGATTTATTTATTTTGGATTTTATGTTGCTTTTGCTAATCATTCATTGATTCAGTCAAAAAATTTGTGTTGAATTATGTATACTCTGTGTTATCCTAAATGCTAAATGCACTGAAATAAATAACATTTCACATTTGAGACTTTTTATCATTGAGGAATGATTATTTTTTTTTACTTTAAATAATGTTTTTATTTTTCAGTTACAGTAGACATACATTATATTAGTTTCAAGTGTATACCCCAGTAATTAGACATTATATAACTTACTAAGTGATTACCACAATTAATCTAGTACCCGTCTAACACCATACATAGTTATTACAATATTGACTGTATTCCCTATATTGTACTTTACATCCCCATGACTATTCTGTAACTGCCAATTTGTACTTCTTCATCCCTTCATCTTTTTCACCCATCCCTCACCTGCCTCCTATCTAGCAACCATCAAAATGTTCTCTGTATCTATGAGTCTGTTTCAATTCTGGTTGTTTATTTTGTTTCTTAGATTCCACAAATAAGTGAAATCATATGGCATTTGTCTTTCTCTGTCTGACTTATTTTACTTAGAATAATACCCTCTAGGTCAGTGATGGCGAACCTTTTGAGCTCGGCGTGTCAGCATTTTGAAAAACCCTAACTTAACTCTGGTGCCGTGTCACATATAGAAATTTTTTGATATTTGCAACCATAGTAAAACAAAGATTTATATTTTTGATATTTATTTTATATATTTAAATGCCATTTAACAAAGAAAAATCAACCAAAAAATTGAGTTCGCGTGTCACCTCTGACACACGTGTCATAGGTTCGCCATCACTGGTCTAGGAGGCACTGTGGTCGAAAAGCCAATATCCATTCATCCTCGAATGCTCTAATTCCATTCCATTTCCCACCCCCGGGTTCAGGGATGGGACAAAGATGGAGAGAGTTTTGGGGGAGACCTGGGGGAAAATTTCCCTGATCTTAAGAGAGACCCCCGAGGGTGTGAACAGGAAGCAGGCTGACCAGATGCTGCAGTCGGCCATCCTTATGGCCATGGGAACACCTGCTTTCGGATGAGGCTCAGCCTATGGACGAAGACAGAAAGAGCCTGGGTCTCCTGTGACCTTGCTGAGCCACCAGATTAACACACCCAGAGCCTGCTCTCCCCCCTGGACCTGGGGCTCCTGTTTTGCAAGAACGGACATTTCCTTCTTTTCAAAGCCACTTTGCCTTGGTTCTGTTTCTCGCCGGTCCAAAGAGGAAGCAGGAAGGGTGCAATGACCTCCAGGCTTCCTCCTGGTGCCAGGGGTCACACGTTGCTAAGAGAAGTGTAAGTGCAGCCCCGCTGCTGAGGGATGCACAAATACTTTACGGCAAACCTCTTCATTCTTCTCAGTGTGTATGTGTAAGCACTTTCTCCCATAACAAGCAAAAGTTTTATTTAAAAAAAAAAAAGGGTAGCACAAAATCAGT